ACCAAAAATCTACCCTTTCCTTCCTCCGTTAGGGCTTTAACCTGGTTAAACACGGACAAGTGCTTAGAGCCGGACACACACACCCGTTCACAAATCTCCCTGGTAGTTACAGAGAACATAGCCAGTTCCCATTCATAACTAGACGGAACATAGTTTTAATATCATTCCCAATACAAAGATCTGTAGGCAATAACTTCCTTACACCAGCTATAACAGGGGTTCTCAAACTGGGGGTCAGGACCCCTCAGGGGGTCTCGAGGCTATGATATGGGGGGTCGCGAGCTGTCAGCCTCCACCCCCAAACCCCGCTTCGCCTCCAGCATTTATAATGGCGTTAAATATATAAAAATGTGTTTTTAATGTATAAGGGGGGGGGTCGCACTCAGAGGCTGGCTGTGTGAAAGGGGTCACCAGTACCAAAGTTTGAGAAGCACTGAGCTATAACTTCATGTTTAACACCATTTGCCACAGAGTCACCAGGAGTATGCTCTGGAACTACTCCTTACGAAGCCAGTCAGGACTCAGGGGGAGCCTCCTCTCTCGGAGCAGACTGTCTCCAGGGCAAGAAGCTTCCACAGCTTCCACCTTCCTGGGTCTGACCTCGGAGCATTCAGCATCCCCTGCCACACCGTGCGCTTCCCACAGCGAGTCTGTCCGGGTGTGGCTCCTGGGGAAGCCAGAGGGCCCTGCACCCCAACTTCGCAGTCAGACGTGACTCTCAGCCAGCCGGTAAAACAGGTTTATTAGTCAACAGGAACGTAGCATAGAACAGAGCTTGTTAGCACAGAAATCAGTGACTTTCAGCCAACTCCATCTTGGGGAGTCCTGGGCCAGAAGCCCTGGATCCCCATCCCTCTCTTCCAGTCCCCCAAGCAGCCCCCCGCTTCCAGCGACCCCCCCCCAGACCCCCCCCCCCCCCGCCTGTTGCTCCTCCTCCTTTTCTTTGTCTCAGGCAAAGAGTCACCTGGTTGTCACCTGGTTGCATCCCCCTCCTGGTCTCAGGTTAGGAAGGGCACAGGTCATAGCATATGTGCAGGCAGCTCGAGCAGCCTCACCTGCCCCAGAGGTCTCAGCCAGTCACACACCCCTATTCCCACCACTGAGGTATTGGTGCAGCACACAGGGAAACTGAGGCACACACAGTATTCATGCAAAACAGTAAAACTCACATCGGCTCAACAATAACAGTCACATACAACATAACAAGGGGAAATCCCCACTTTGTCACACCATTCCGTTCAAGGTGGATTCTGGCTAAAGGCACACTCACAGTAAACTCACAGAGGATTACAACATTCACACGCTTATCTGGTAAATAATCTTCCTCGCTGACAAGATCTGCTTTAACTAGAGTGATGTTAGAAGCTGTAACTTGCCCTAAACACCTTTTACCATTGATTTTTACACTCTAGGAATTTTCTATTACAACCCCCATACATAGCATTGGCACAATTTATGGGGTTACCTTCTTCAGAGCTTATAGTAACAGCATTTACATAAAAGGTGGCAGTGTTGGGGGATATTTGGTTACCCTCTTTCTGGTCAAAGTTCTTTAGCAGATTTTTTAGTTAACAATGGACTAGCTACCGCTTCAGCTATGGAGTAAATTCTTCCAAACCCTCAGGGATTCATAGAAATAATGAACCAAAATGACAAAGAAACTTTAATAACAAAAGAGATAACACACACTGAGCTCAAAGACAAGGGACACGGGATCCTTTAAAGAAAAGAACAAGAATGCTCATGTTTAGCTGTTAATTTATAGTCCATTGTGAGAACCAAACCCAGAAATATGTCACCCAAGGAAGCCCCCTCTGCCAGGAACCTCCAAGCTTTTCCAATTACTACCCATAGTGGGACAAATCTGGAGCAATCCTAAACAGGGACAGAATCAGGACAGCAGTTTGCAAGAAACCCACTGAACCCCCTTTCTCAGCTCCAACGTCAGCAGAGATTTCAGGGTATTTCAGTGTAATTTACCGATTTACAGAAAGTTCCTGAGTCCTGTTTCCTAGACCAGAGCTGGTCACACCCCTGAAGGACAGTTATCCCAACCTGATTTCCTAGCAGAGACCTGACCTATATAGGTACCTTTGTGGATCTAGGCCAAGTTGCCCATAGGCAAGTCCCTCTTGAAGAGGCACCAAGAAGTCTCTCTTGGGTCTCTCTGGGGCTCTACTTAAAATACTGTTTTTTTTTCCTGCGTCAGACTCTGGACTTTTTAACTTGAGGAACTTAAATGCAAAGCTGCTCACCTTGGAGCCATGAACTCAAGCGATGGCCTGCTCATTACCCAGCTTTCCGTGCAACTGCTCTGCAACAGAAAGACAACTCAGAAAAGATTTGATTGCTCCGGGGGGAAAAGGAAGCTTTACCACACACAACGTGCTTTAATACACAGCCCCCCGAATGACTGTCTGTGCAGCTCCTGCATGGAGTGACTGGAACGCTGCATTGGGGCAGTCTCATGGGGAGTGCTTATACACCAGTGACTCTCCCCTAGACATCAGCACCTCTTGCTCTAGACATTTGGAATATGGGAGAGGGAATTTAACATCATTTTTCCAACCTTTGAGTTTTGGGTAGTTAAACTATCGTGTTCAGGAAGGGCACAGTGGCTTGGCAGTATTGTGTGTGGCCACAACCTTAGCAAAGGTTTTTCTTTAAGGACAGCACAAGCCCTAGAGCAGGGGTAGGCAACCTATGGCACGCGTGCCAAAGGCGGCACATGAGCTGATTTTCAGTGGCACTCACACTGCCTGGGTCCTGGCTACCGGTCCGGGGGGCTCTGCATTTTAATCTAATTTTAAATGAAGCTTCTTAAACATTTTAAAAACCTTCTTTACTTTACATACAACAATAGTTTAGTTATATATTATAGACTTATAGAAAGAGACCTTCTAAAAACGTTAAAATGTATTACTGGCCCGCGAAACCTTAAATTAGAGTGAATAAATGAAGACTCGGCACACCACTTCTGAAAGGTTGCCGACCCCTGGTCTAGAGAGTAGAAAAAATACAACCTCTAGTAATGCCCACACTCCCATCGTATGAACATTCAGGCTTTTTTCTGGAAGTGTTTTGGTCAGTGAGGAATCAAATGCCCCAAGCAGATCTCAACAAGACAATAACAGCACATCAAAATGTGAGAAGAACACCAAGCAGAAAATAACTTTACATTTATTGAACATTGTTTGTTTACTATAAACGTGAGGACATCGTCTACCTTGGACTGATTATTTAATAATCAGAAAAGGAACAAGGGACCCAATTTGTGCAAAATATTATTTGTAAAGACTTTTAAATGGCTCCACTATTGATGAACTACTGCATCACATGAATGACACTGTCACTTTCAACTGCATTTATTAAGCTAACGGTCACTCTCCTATATGTCTGTCATTTTCTGTTCCCTTCGCCTTCATTCCCTCATGCCTGGGTCCCTATCTATCAGGGTCTGACCCTAGAGGCTGCTAGAGTCCTCCTTGATCATAGAGGGGAGTGAAAAACAGGCTACACAAGCCATAGGGCAAGGAAATTGCCTTTTCTATCTCAATCATGCCCTGTTCTCTATGGTTTGACAGTACAAAGATTGTAGCATTTAAGGTCACAGAGATGGCACAGTAGAAAGTCTGCAGGATGACAATAGTCCTCCAGGGTCATAGTGACTGGGGTGTGTGAGGCTAGAGGGAGTGACTACAACCAATTGGGGAAAAGGCCAGGGGAAAGCCCATGACTGCCTTCAAAAATGACAGCTAGGAAATTAAAAGGAAATAAACAAGGAATAAATGTGCTTCATTTACAATAAGTAAAAGTCAGGCTGAAAAGGAGCTGAGAGGGAATTTCCATAACCTGTCTCACCGTCAGTAACATTTGAAAAAACTCCCTCTCCCCCCTCGCATTCTCTTTTCTTCTCCCTTTCCTTTCATTTCATTCAGTTTTACACACCATTTTCTCTGGCCCTTGTTTTCCATCCCTGTTTGTTCCCCTCAGTCTCCTCTGTTCCCGATCACAGATCTCTCCAGCTCACGTTGCCAGTTCTCTCCCCTGAGTTTATCTTCTCACCTCTTGCTGCCACCTGAGCTTTACCCGTCTCACGTCTCACGATTGCTTTGCTTTCACTCTGCACTTCAGCCTCCCTCCACCTCACCCTGGCAGCTCTGTTTATTTCCTTTATTTTTCTTTTCCCTTCCGGAACCCCCTTTCCCACCACAGAATCCCTTTCCTTGAGGGCAGGAGCTCACACGCTTCAGTCACTGGGTCTCCTTCTCCCAGGCTCCCTGCTGGTGCGGAGCCTCCATCTTTTCCCCAAGGACCCAAACCCTAATTCATTAATTAACTCTGTGTCCCTGCCACCTCCACAGCTTCCTGGCCCCTGCCCAGCTATTAATTCTGCCCCCAGCCCCCTCATCACTTCTGCCTCCTGTCCCTCCATCAGTTCTGACCCTGCCACCCCCACATGTCCCCCTCAGGGCCCATCTGCTCCTCCTGCAGCTCCAGGGGTTCTTCACCCCTCCCTCCTCCCATCCCTGGGGCTGCAGGGAGGGAGGGGAGGAGTTCCCAGGTGTCACAGAGATGAGGTATCAGGGGTTGGGTAGACAGGACTCCTCCAGGGTCATAAAGATGAGTCAGGAAGCTAGATAGTTGAGAGTCCTCCAGGGTCATAGATACTGGAATGATGGTGGCTAGAGAAGCCCCCCCCCTTTTTTTTAATTCCCAGAGGGCTACTCCCCTGATATCTCAGTGACACAACCTGACCCAGGATCCCCAGAGTCCTCCTGGACCATAGAGGACAGTGCCAAATAGGCAGTACCATCCATGGGGCAATGAGATTGACTTCTCTCTCTCAATCACTCCCTGATCTCTGTAGTTTGACAGTCCAGACCTGAGTCCCCAGGAGCCTGCAGGAAGACTGGTGTCCTCCAGGGTCATGGAGACTAGTATGTGTGAGGCTAGAGAGGCTGATTTCAGTATACACAGTGGAATATTCCCCCTGTGTCTCAGGGACACAGTCTGAACTGGGTTTCCAACCCCACTGAGAGCCAGGGGCGGAGTCTCTCCCCATTGAAAGATGCTGGTGGGAAAGTAAAGATCAGGGTCTCGTTATCAGCATTGAAAAATGTCACCTGCCCCCATTCATAGTCCAGTGAAACCTGGATCCTCCTGGGGACCCAGCTCAGGAGCAGCGGGGTCACAGGGGAGGTGAGAGCCTGGTACTGACCCCACCAGCACTGCTCCACTGCCCAGATCCCGCCCTCAGGGTTATAACTGACCCCTTCCTTCCTCTTCACAGACTCTCTAGCCACCCCCACAGCCCAGAACAATCCATCCCCCACCTCCACCTCCCAGGAATGTATCCCTGAGCTGAATCCCTCATAGCCCAGCACACAGGGATCAGCGTCAAATCTCTCAGGGTTGTCGGGCAGATCCTGCCATGTGTCTCCCCATCTCACACTTTTCCGATCCTCAGACAGGACGAGTTCGGGATGAGCTGTGTCTGGATCCAGAGTCACATTCGCTGGGGAGATAGAGAATCAGAGCGTTAGAAGCAGAGCTCAGCCCTGGAGGAGTCTGGGACCATGTCTTACAGTCCCTCATCCTCCAGACCCCAGTGGGGTTGTCTCATTCTCCTTTTGCGTGTTGTCATAACCTAGGCCCAGATCCTGCAAAGAGTTTAGCATGACAGAACAAGGAGCAACGGTCTCAAGTTGCAGTGGGGGAGGTTTAGGTTGGATATGAGGAAACACTATTTCACTAGGAGGGTGGTGAAGCACTGGAATGGGTTACCTAGGGAGGTGGTGGAATCTCCTTCCTTAGAGGTTTTTTAAGGTCAGGCTTGACAAAGCCCTGGCTGGGATGATTTAGTTGGGGATTGGTCCTGCTTTGAGCAGCGGGTTGGACTAGATGACCTCCTGAGGTCCCTTCCAACCCTGATATTCTATGATTCTATGAAGGCAATTTTACGCTCTTTGGCTCAGTGGACATTAATGGGATTTTGCAGGCTTAGGGCCTTGAATTGCAAGCTCTTTGGGTTGATTTACTCAGTATCCATACAGAGCTCAGCACAGTGGGGCCCTCGTCCTCCTTAGATGTAAAAATGAATAATAACAACATTATTTTATAGCTGTGGAAACCGAGGCAGGGAGAGGGCTGGCTCAATGGGCCTGATTCACCCCTGGGTTGGTAAAGTGATGGGGGTTCCCCTATTCAGTGGCTGGTGCAGACTTTGGCACAGGCTAGGGAAGGCTTGTGGTCCGGCCCGAGTGGCATCCCTGTTTCAGTGGCTGCTGTGTGGCATTGCCAGGGAGCAGAGTATCAGAGGCACAGGTTTCCCCTGGTCACACCCCTCTATCCCTGCTCCACCCTGCCCTCAACAACCCCACTCTGTTCCCACCCACCCAGGAAGAAACACTCCTTGAGCACGAGAGGCTCCTGTCCTGGAGTGATTCACTCGCCCTGTAGTTGGGAGAGAGAAACTGAGGCACCCCAGATTTTGCTATATTTTCATCTGAATGATTTTACCAAAGCTCACCAAGTGAATCAAAGCGAGCCATCCTGTTGCCTGGCTCCCTACTACATACGTTCAGTTTCTCTACTTTCTGTTTTTTATTAAATAGATACACACTGTAATTACGAACCAACTGGCTAACTCCACCCACACTCCCAGAGACACACTCTGATTTATCCTCCTAGATTCCTTCTTGGTACTTTGAACTTCTTCATAGTCTCTAGTAGCGCAAGATTTTTCTGGGAGAAATCGCTGAATCTCTTTTCCAGCTCAGCAGAAAGCTCCACCGGCTGCTGGAACTTCCCCATCTCACACCTGGAAAGAAAATTTCACATTATTCTATTTCATTTATGGATTCGTTATCATTCCTTTCTAGTGGAAGTTGAATTCCTCTGCTTCTCCCAGCCTCAGAGCAGGGGCAGCAGAGGTCACGGCAGTGCAACCTTCCTCCAAAGGCCCCATTAATATTCTTCAACTCTGGCCTGCAGAGAGCAGATCTGAGGATAAAAGAGGAATCGAGTCTCCAGGGCCAATTCTCTCCTTGGCCTCCATGCACTAATACTGGTACGTTCCCATACTTCTTGCACTGAGTGTTATGGGATCTTTCTTTCACGCTGTAGACTGAGACCTCAGCTCCACGGAAATCAGCTCATTCCACACAGAACTCCAAACGGTCCTCGGGTGCGAAAGAATCTTGATTCCTGCAGACCAGGGCATGATTGTACCCTGTGCCCTAGAGATGAAAGGCCCATATTCCACCCCCAGAATCCTGAGGCAGCCAGTCCCCAGGGAAGGAACATATCTAGGAAATCCTTTAGGTCAGTCTTTCCCACTGACTAGATAATTCCAGAGTCTTGTATAGAAGGGTAGAACCTCAGGATTAAGTTAATCGCAGAGACTTGTATCCAAAATGTGACCCTGCCACACACATTTTGCTGGAGAGCCTTGGGGAGATGTGGTGTTAACATGGTCTCCAAGTCCTTTCCCAGCACTGTGAAGCACAAGGGGGAGGGAGTGAGAGCCACGTACCTGCTCAAGGTGCGTCTGACATCCTAGAAGGAAGAGAGAGAGAAAACAATCTCAGTCCCTCATGCCGCACCCTGGGGTACTCAGGAAAGGGATTTTGCAGCTATGGGGAAAAGAGGCACTGCCCTGGCCCCAGGGCCATACATTGGCTGATTTACATAAATGAATCTGTAACTCTTCTGTGACGTTATTGATATAATCTGGGACCGTATAGATCATTGTTGCAACCAAGGTCCTGTAGTGGCACCCAAATCTTGTATAAAGGGGGTCAAATGGGGTGTCTAAGACAAGGTTATGGTTTACTGGTTATAATTATGCTGTCTATATGGGTGTATCAGTTTTATAGTTGAAGTTATGAATATTGGCTCTATACTGTCTGTATTGCAAACTTATGCTATGCTTCTGGGTGACATCCCAGACAAGCTGGTGTTAGCTCTGCCTCGCCTGCTTGATGGCCCATTAAGAACCATCAGCTATACAATGGACTCATTGAGAAAAGGCAAATATGCCTTGAGACTCAGCAAAGTATGCAGGGACTGGCCCATGTGACTCCAGACTCCATTTTGCTGTAATTTTCCACAGTAAGAACAAAGAGGTGTTCTTACACCTGGAAAAGACTATAAAAGGCTGATGCCTCATCTCCATCTGGTCTTCAATCCTGCTTCTTACCTCTGGAGGAACTTTGCTACAAGCTGAAGCTTTGAACAAAGGACTGAGGACCCATCCCAGCGGGGGATGTATTCCAGAGACTTGATTTGAACCTGCAGTTTATTCTATCACTGCTGCAAGCCTGAACCAAGAACTTTGCCATTACTGTATGTAATTGATTCCATTTAACCAATTCTAACTCTCATCTCTATCTTTTTCCTTTTATGAATAAACCTTTAGATTTTAGATTCTAAAGGATTGGCAACAGCGTGATTTGTGGGTAAGATCTGATTTGTATATTGACCTGGGTCTGGGGCTTGGTCCTTTGGGATCAGGAGAACCTTTTTCTTTTACTGGGGTCTTGGTTTTCATAACCATTTGTCCCCATAACGAGTGGCACTGGTGGTAATACTGGGAAACTGGAGTGTCTAAGGAGATTGCTTGTGAGACTTGCGGTTAGCCAGTGGGGTGAGACCGAAGTCCTCCTAGTCTGGCTGGTTTGGTTTGCCTTAGAGGTGGAAAAAAACCCAGCCTTGGGCTGTAACTGCCCTATTTGAGCAATTTGTCCTGAGTTGGCACTCTCAGTTGGGTTCCGCCAGAACCGCATTGTCACAGGAGTGAGAGCCACGTACCTGCTCAAGGTGCGTCTGACATCCTAGAAGGAAGAGAGAGAGAAAACAATCTCAGTCCCTCATGCCGCACCCTGGGGTACTCAGGAAAGGGATTTTGCAGCTATGGGGAAAAGAGGCACTGCCCTGGCCCCAGGGCCATACATTGGCTGATTTACATAAATGAATCTGTAACTCTTCCAAGAGCAACAATTCACATTTCATGAATGCGCACAGTGAGGCTATGGCTACACTGGTGCTTTACAGCGCTCCAACTTTCTCGCTCAGGGGAGTGAAAAAACACCTCCCTGAGTACAGCAAGTTACAGCGCTGTAAAGCACCAGTGTAAACAGTGCCCCAGCGCTGGGAGCCGTGCTCCCAGCGCTGTAAACTAATCCCCTCATGGAGGTGGAGTACCTGCAGCGCTGGGAGAGCTCTCTCCCAGCGCTGGCGCGCGACCACACTCGCACTTCAAAGCACTGCTGTGGGAGTGCTCCCGCGGCAGCTCTTTGAAGTTTCGAGTGTAGCCATGGCCTGAGTGACACCGTGATCTCTGACTGCTGGACACCAGTGCCCATGATTCAGGAGTTGTCCTGTCCCTGGGTTGGGCTTTGGGATCGTTTTCATAGAATCATAGAATATCAGGGTTGGAAGGGACCTCAGGAGGTCATTTAGTCCAACCCCCTGCTCAAAGCAGGACCAATTCCCAACTAAATCATCCCAGCCAGGGCTTTGTCAAGCCTGACCTTAAAAACCTCTAAGGAAGGAGATTCCACCACCTCCCTAGATAACCCATTCCAGTGCTTCACCACCCTCCTAGTGTGACGAACTGGGACTGTTCTTAATGTGGTCTTTGAATGCTGAGTGGGGAGTGTTGGCTGGGAAGGCAGGGGAGTGTGGCTAGGACGGTCTGCATGGGGGGATGGGAGACTGGCCTTGAGGGAGAATACCTGAGCATGTAACGTGAGAACCCAGGAAGGGGTTAGAGGCCAGGTGACACCTTTGCCCGGGAAACTGAACAAAGGCTGGGGGAGGAGACGCTGGGGGAGAGAGAGGTTTTTCAGGGGCTGGCTGGTAATGGAGGGAGCACAGATGGGGCTCTGCCCCCACCCCAATGGGCCTGTGGTGCCCCTGGGACCCCAAGATGGACCTAACTGAGGGGGGTCCTGTTGTCTGTACCTGCAAGATCTGTCTTGGACTGTGTTCCTGTCGTCTAAATAAACCTTCTGCTTTACTGGCTGGCTGAGAGTCATGGTGAATCACAGGAAGCCGGGGGTACAGGGCCTTGTGTCCCCCCACACTCAGTGACAACTGGTGGTAGAGGTTGGATGTACTGCACCCCGTGGATGGCGCTTCCTGCAGTAAGTGACTGGGGAGCAGTAAGGCGAAGGGGGATTGACGGGGACCCGGTGGGCTGAAGAGTCAGAGAGAGACGGTTCAGGAGGCAATTAACCCCTGGGAGTGTGGGACCAGCGAGAAGGACTTTTGCAGTAACAGGGTCCCCCAGGGGATCGCAGCGAGCGGTCCCAGGGGCGGAAGATTCTGCAGCTTGACCCTGGCAGAGAGGTGGTGACCTGAAGAAGGGCTGGCACACTAGGGGTCTCCCTGGAATGGTGGAAAGCTGAGAGCACAGGCCGGCGAGTGGCCAGCAGGAGGATGTATGCTAAACGCCTTAAGAGCGACCTGGTGGAGCTGTGCAAGCAGAGCAGGCTGCGCATTGGGAGGTCCACCAAAGAACAGCTAATTGCCCAGCTGGAGGAGAAGGATCGCTTGGATGAACCGAGCCCTGTCCCTGAGGGAAGCTGCCCGGCGGATGCAGCGTGGGCCCCGGGGCCTGACCTGGCTGGGAGGGGTCAGACTGCTGCCGAGGACATCCCGAGACCCTGCCTACCTATACCTAGGGGAGGGGTTGGGGGAAGCCCAGCGAATACTGAGGGCACCCTGACCCCGGCGGCCAGCAGGGGATCGTCCCGGCGGAGCTCCCCGTCCCTGGAACGGATGCGGCTGGAATATGAATGGGAGATGAGTCGGGAAGAGCTTGAGTTAAGGAAGCAAGAACTTCAGCATGAGCAGGAAGAACGGGAAAAACAGCGGGAGGAGAAGGAGAAACAACGTCAGCATGAGGAGAAACAGTGTCAGCATGAGCTGGAACTGGCCAGGCTGAGGAGCAGTGGGGCCCCGGCTGCAGTGAGTGAGGGGGGACCCAGGACTGCAAAGAGCTTTGATAAGTGCTTCCTGGCCCAGCGTAAGGAGGGGGAGGACATGGATACCTTCCTGACGGCCTTTGAGAATGCCTGCGAGCTGCACCAGGTTGGCCCTGCAGACAGGCTCCAGTTTCTCATTCCCTCACTGGACTCCACAGCCCTGGAGGTGTACAGCCGACTGAAAGGGGCGGAGACAGGGGACTACGAACTGTTCAAAAAGGCCCTGCTCCGCGAGTTTGAGCTGACTCCTGAGATGTACCGGAAAAGGTTCCGGAGTCAGCGTAAAACCCGTGAGGTCACATACCTACAACTAGCCAACCGGACGCAGGGGTATGCCTGCAAGTGGACAGCGGGGACCCAAACTAAAGAAGACCTGCTTGACCTATTCGTACTGGAGCACCTGTATGAGCAGTGCCCATCCGACCTGAGGCGATGGTTGATGGACCAAAAACCAGAGAACCCGCAGCACGCATGCCAGCTGGCCGACGAGTTTGTGAACAGTCGGGCAGGGGATA